ACAGCAAAAATAGTAAGATCCAAAAAGAGAGGATGGAACCAAGATTTTTTTGTCCCTCATAATGTATGTAGACTACTTGCCCCAGAGTGGGTGTTGTACTCATGCACATAATCCCAGCATTGGACCATGAATCAAACACAAACTTCCATGACACGAACTCCAAAGCCTCCATGACCACAGGAGGCTTTGGGGGACAAACAGACACAAACCTTAACATATACATTTTGTTAACTTTCAAGTTAGCTCTTCAAAAAAGGTGGTCCAGATCTAGGTGATTTTACTTAGTATAAAAACAAACAGCCTCTGAATCAGACAGCTCCAAAAGATGATAGCTGCTTGGGGTTGTACAACCCTTGAGCTTCATCTTGTTAGAGGGTAAAGGCTATTAAGTAAGTTTTTTCAGGATGTGCACAGGCAGATTCTAGGTGATTAAACATTTGCTCTTGTAGGGAATGTCTTTAAATAATTGAATATTATAAAAATTTGGATTTGGTGCCTGAGGCTTTTGAACTGAATCTCAGCACACAGTGAAGAGATAAACAACTTAGGTGCAAAGGTACAGAGGCCATCTTTAGCTTATTTACGTAATACTGTCAAGTGATTTTCCTTGGCTAATTTTTGTAAACCTTCTGTGCCCTGTCACATTTGACCCCTGAAATCTCTGCTTAATTAATTTAGGTAGTGAATGGACAAATTTCTCCAAATGTCTGGAACAAATATATCCTTTGCCTGGGGTCCTTTTATTTGTATTGAAGCATGCCTTCAGTGCTCAGGCAGGCAGTTTATAACTTAGTCTTCGCCTTTACGTCCTGTTTCCACAAATGCCCCTAGGTAATAGCTGATTGCATTTAGCAAGATTTAAATCACGTAAAATAAATACAAGCCCCATAAATGAGGTTTTCCACAGATTTGCCAGACAGATAAAATAATGACCATTCTCTGTTCTTTGGAATGAAGCTCCAAACATATTCTCTCCCCTTTAGCAGGTTCTATATAGCTGGTTCTTACCATAATTATATGGCTCTTGGTTTTTGAGACTATTATTAGTTGGGGATAAGATTGGAATAGGGCAAGTTAAAGACTACAGAGGTCAGTGTTTCTAGATTCACCCATTTTACTTCAATAGATTCTCTTCAGATTATTTCAAGCATTTGGTTAATTTCCAGAGCTCTGAAAAAGTTGATTTTGACAATGTTTTTGCTATTTTCTAATTGCATCTGTGGAGGAACAAGTTTTTAAAGGTTCTTACCATTCTTGCTGATGTCATTCTCATTTATTCTTCAACCCACTCCAATCAGGCTTTTGTTCCCAGTACTTCAACAAAATTGCATTCACCAAGGTTACCAATGGCTTCCAGTGAAATCTATTTGATTTATAATTCAAATTTATTTGAAAATATCACAACTTTTCCTTCTAGAAACACTGTATTCAGTCTCCTGGTCTTTTTTTTTCTTTCACTGTTGTGCCTTTTATTTTTCACTGTGACTCTCCTCATCCTCCTCTCCCTGCCCCCCTCCCCCAACCCTTCTCCTCTCTCCCTCTCCTCCTTCTTTCTCTCCTCCTCCTCTTCCTTCTTCTTCTCTCTCTCCTTCTCTCTCTTCCTGTTTCTCCACCTCTCTCCCTCTCATCAAACTCAAAGCCTTCAACATGTACTCTCTCACTGAGGTATTTCCCCAACCCTCTCCATCTCTTTCAGTTGTTATTTTTCATTTCTTCAATCTCTAAATATGTGAAATTTAGTCATGAAATCTTTTATCTACCATTACTTTCTCCACAATTTCTAATTGTATTCTAATTGGATCCAAATATCATGTAGATATTGACAACTTACTAGACTTCTGTCCCAAATTAAGACATTTGCATCCAATTTTATTCTTGACATGTCCAGCTGAGTATCTAGTAAGCAAAATTCATATATTCAAAGGAAAATTCTTGATCTCTTCTCTCAACCTCACCATATATATTCCTCCCAAGGTCTTCTCTGTTTCAATGATTATCAACTCTATTATAAAAGAATTTGAAGTCATCCTCTTTTCCTGTCTCTCTTATTCCATAGTCAATCTGTTAGCAAATTATTTTGGCTTTACTTTCAAGATTTATTTAGATCTCTGTCATTTCCTACCATCTCCTTTGCCATTTTCCTTGTCCTAGCCACCATTATCTCCTGTCATAATTGTGGCAATAGCCTCCTAAATTATCTCCAATTTCAGTCTTGCTTTCTGCTTTCAAAAGCTATTGTCCATAAAGCATCAAACTTGTCATTCAAATCTGAAGGAAAGAAATTCTGAGATCAGCATAAAATGAAGAAATTCATGACCACTAAGCCAACAATATAAAAGGTAAGGGAATCCTACAAAGAGAAGAGGAAGAATAGATGAGTTATTGAGAATTAGAAAAGAATAAAAAAATTTTTTAAACCCTAAATGACAGGTTTTAGTACTTACCCTTTTATAATAGCAATGAATGTAAATAGTCTTAATTCTCCAATTAAAAAACAAAAACTGGTAGTCTGGATAAAAAACAATATGCAACTCTTTGCTGCTTTCAAGAAACATACCTCACCAGCAAAATGCATACAGAGACTGAAATTGACAAGATGGAAGACAAAATTTCTTCAAATGAAACCTAAAATTAAGTAGGAGTAGCTATCCATGTATCTGACAAGGCAGATTACAAGACAAAATTAGTCAGACAAGACAAAAAAGGCTACTACATATTGGTAAAGAGAGCAATCACCAAGAAGGTATAACAATTAAAAATACATAACACAGTAAACACAATTTCATGAAACAAACATTACTCAATATAGATGGTTTTATGGAAACTTCTCCCAAAAGGTTCATGTATTTGGAAGGTGATATGACATCGAAGACACAATAGCTAACATGCTGTTAGGAGGAATGGTTGAAAGTGGGTCACTTGTCTATGGCTGCTCTTCTCTTCCTGCTTCCTCACTGCCATGACATGAAAAACTTTCTGCCACCCTTCTACAATGCATTTCCTGCTTTAGAGGCAGCTATATATGGGCTATATATTCTAAAAACCTCTCTTTCTTTAAGTTGTGAATGGTGGGAATTTGTCCAGTGATGAGGAAAATAACTAAGAAATTGGTACCAGAAGTGGGGTTGTGGTTATGACTATTACTTGAACATGTGGCTTAGAAGCCTTTGGATTTCTTTCATGAAAAGAGTTTGAATGACTGGGAAATGCCTACTAGAGAAGCCATAGAATGCTATAAGCCAAACTTGACAGAAGATTCTAGTTAGAGCTCAGAAGACTTGAATGTTGAAAGAAAACTAGATAGCGGGAGGCATTATGGTAACCATTGTTGATCACCTTGTATTATGTTTTTATATTATCTATTATGTCCACCCTTTTGACTTGACTGATTCTGTCCTGTTATGTCTCATTTGGTTTTACTCTCTTCCAAAAAAGCAATAAGAACCGTGGGAGCAATGAAACCCAAAATGTGTAATAGTCATTGTACAAAAGAGAGGAAAAGAAAGTGCTCTAAACTATATAACTGCATGTATATTTAAGTGTATAAGATAGAAAATGATATCACAGAGTTTTATTGGATCATTGAACAGAACTGTTTGCAGTATCATTGTTGGAATGTCCACTCTACAAGCTTTAATTTTGTGACTTGAACAATTATTTTTAAGATGGCAACATGTAATCCATTAACTAGTGATTTCCTACTGTTCATTTTTTTCTTCTGTAAATCTGTATAACTTGTACCCTTTCACTTTTTTTTCTTTTCTCCTTAAATAAAAAAAAAAAAGAAAGAAAATGACCAAGGATTATGTAAGTGCAGAGACTGTCTGATGGAAAGAGGAATGGGATGCTTTCCTGAGAATATTGTCTTCCATGAGAGGCAGATTGTGCTTTGTTGAAATTTCAGCTAGCTGAGTCGGCAGAACATGATATTAATTGAAGCCTAGGATTCTAACTAGGTGCTCAAACTGACCATAGATCCTGATGGATAAGAATCTTCTGGCTTTTTGGATAGATGCCTTGGGGCCGTGGCATCTACTTAGTAGTCAGCAACTCTGCCAGTCACCTGTACCTGCATCTGCGTTTCCTGTGACTGCTTCTTCACATGCCTCCAGGGTTTACAACCAGCGTCCCTGACCAGGTCCCTCTTCTCCAGTCCCATCCCTGAGCGTGGTTTTCTTTTCATACCCATACTCTCTCTCTCTGTGTAATTAATTTAGGGAACACAGACCACATAATGAACACAGTCTGTCAAATCCTACAATGTAGAGTTTACTAACACCACCACCACCTTTTTTCTGTCTTTATAGACCTGGTGCAGAGATAAGGTTTTTGTTCATTTAGTAAAACCACATTGTATGCACTCTCTTAAAATTTGTTATTTTCTAACTGTGTGTCATGGAACTATTACTTACCTACCTCGTTTTAATGCAGACCTAAGTATTCTGCTGTGTGGATTTGTCATGATTTATTATCTAATTCCATTGCATTGGATATGGTTTATATTTGCGTGCTACAGTATAGAACATTATAGAGAACATCCTTATAGGAATAGCTTTCATAAAGCAAAAGTCTGCTTGCGTTCTAACTTCTTGCTTGAAATTCATCAATGGCTCTAGGATTAAATCCATCACCTTGAATGACAGGAGAGGTCATCTGTTATCCAGCTTTGGCCTGCTTCCTAGCAGCCTGACTTCTCGCTATGGCTTTGTCTCTGCTGCTCTGGTCAGAAGCCCCGCCGGATACCCTCCATCTCTACATTGCCAGTGTGTGTTTGTGTATCTTTCCAGCTGGACTGTCAACTTCCTGAGGGGCATATGCTTCCTCTCCTGGGAAAAGTTGCTTGTGGCACTCAATACTTGTTTGTCTGCAAGAAAAACAATGGATGCGTGCATACATGTTTTATTTCCTTCTTTATTTCTCATTGATCTCCAACTAGAAGTATTTTAGTGGGCAGCTCATAGATTATGGCTTCGTATAATCTTGAATTTCTTCATGCACAGGTTCATTCCAAGGAGCAAAAGCTGGCTGAGCCGAGTCTATGCCTGTGTTTTGATATTGCAAAGCAGAAAACAAAGCCTCCTAGACCTGCACTCTAATTAAAGGACAGATCATAAATAAAGTACTTAAGTGAGATTCATGCAATGTTAAAGACTGTATAAAGAGAAAAATAAAGTTGGGAAGAAGCTTTAAAAAAAAAAAGAAAGAAAACTAGATAGTAAATACTGTGGGATCAATCGAACCAAGGAAGTCAAAGATGTCTACAATAAACATTTCAGAAAACTGAAGAAAAAAATTGAACAGGATTCCAGAAGATGGCCAAAGCTCCTATATTCATGGATTGGTGGAATTAATAATGTCAAAATGGCAATATTACCAAAAGAACTCTATAGAATCAGTGCAATCACTGTCAGAGTATTAATAACAATTTTCACAGATCTAGAAAAAAAATTTTAAATTTATATGGAAACGCAAAAGATTCAGACTAGCCAAGCCATCCTAAGAAAAATAAGCAAGGATGGAGGCATCACAATACCTTTCAAATTATACTACAAAGCCATAATAATAAAAACAACATGATACTAGCACAAAAATAGTCACATGAAACAGTGGAATAGAACAAACAACACAGAAACAAACGGACACAGCTACAATTATCTGTGAACAAAGAAGTCAAAAATATACATCCTCTTTAACAAATAGTTCTGGAAAAAATGGATGTGAGGAGAAAAGAATCTTCCTATACTTTTTATGGGAGTATAAATTAGTGAATCTTTATGGAAATCTCTTGAATGTCTTTTAATAAACTAAAATTAGAGCTACCATTTGATCCAACACTTGGTATATAACCACTCCTTGGTATATACCCAAAGCAATTAAAATCAGCATACTATCGGGATACCTACATATCCGTGTTGATTGTGTCACAATTCACAAGACAAAGAACCAGCTGATATATATATATATATATATATATATATATATATATATATATTCAGCCACAAGGAAGAATAAAAGAAAATGGGGGATTTAGCTCAGTGACACAAGTGCCTGCCTGGCAAGTGTGAGGTTGTGAATTCAATTCTACCTATGAAGAAAGAAAGAGAGAGAGAGAGAGAGAGAGAGAGAGAGAGACAGAGAGAGAGAGAGACAGAGAGACAGAGACAGAGAACAAGAAAGAAAAGGAAAGGAAAGAGAAAAAAGAAAAGAAAAGAAAATAGATGGACTTGGAAACTTATGTTTAGAGAAACAAACAACACTGAGAAAGACACATATTTGACACACTGTTCCCCATAATATTTAGATTTTTAAAAACATGACAAGTAAGTAGAAGAAAAACTGTTTTTAGGCAAAAAGAAAGGAATAAGAGAGAGGGAAGAAGGTGTAAGTGCAGATAATGGGGAGATGATACAAACAAATGTGAAGTCAATGTAGAGGGCAGGGCCAAGGGGTGATGGAGGATAAAAATGATCAAAATATATTACATGGATACATGAATTTGCCAGTATGAAACCCAATTGTCTGTATAACAGAAAAGTGGCAAAAAGCAGGTAGAGTGATGCTTTAAAAATCACATCAAGACACTCTTCTAATCGTAACTTGGTTCAGTGGCTTCCTATGCCTTTCAGAGTAAAAGCCAGGTTCTTTGAATGACCTACAAAATCTGTATGGTCTGGCATCCATTATGCTGCTAACCACATTTCCTAACTTCCCTCTCCCCACAGTATACACCAGCCACACCTGCTTCCTTGCTGATTCTGGGACATACCAGGCATACTTCAGTTTTGTGACTTTTGAACTTGCTATTTCCTCTGCCTAGAACTCTTGCCTAGGATATTCCCATGACTTTCAGTGGGGGTTTCCATGGCTACCTTTTCAGAAAATAACTTTCCCCTCTCTTCTCCAGGCATTCTTTATTCATCTATTTTTAGTTGTTTTTGTCACTATCTAATATACTATAGTGTAATTCAAACACTTACTTATTGGAATGCCTGGTCAAACTATACAGGGCTCTAATTATTGCAAGACACTTTTGTTCATATGTCTTATGCATTGCCTATATGGACTGAAAATAATCTGCTTTACCCTTATATGTAAAACTGTTCATCTATTATTATAATTAATAAAATATAAATTCATGTAAAAGCATCGTTGAATTTTTATCACTTTTATAAATGAGAAAAGTACTACTTTTGTATATTTATATATATCTATACTACACTGGTTACTTTAAGTTTATTGGTGACAATTTCCTACTTTTTGTATAATACCTTGAAGTACTTGTAGGTCTTTTACAAAATTTATTTTATTTTAATTAATTTATATTTTTATTTTGTGAGTGGTTGGAGTGCTGGGGATGAAATCTAGGGATTCACACATACCAGGGAGTACTTAACTACTGAACTCTACTACATCCTCAAGCCAAAATACATTTTTTAAATAATACACATTTATTTTAGAAAATATTGAAAATCAAAGAAAATATGACAAATAAGCCAGTTTTCCTATTCAAGTGAAACCACTCTTAGCATTTTGTAATTTTTGATGCTCTTTTGTCTAGTCAAAGGATTTCTTTTTTTCACATAATTATTGATATCCTGATTCCTGCATGTTTTATTTAAAATATTATAGGTGAAAATTACACTTTGTAAATACTTGTAAATAGCCACAGTTATTGTAAGGCACTAAAGAAGGATTGTCAAACCCAGCTAACAATTCTTTTTGAGGAAATACGGATTAAGCAATTGTTTTCCAACGGGATGTCTCTCTAAGACAGCTTGAAAGTTGTACTGTAAGGCCTTATAAAATGGAATCTGGTTTACCCTTAATAATTATAATTACATTAACTTCATGCATCTGGAGTTAGAGTCCAAGAGCTGACCTTTTTCCTTTCCTTACTCATCCCCACCAAAGTGTGGCTTTCCTAGAATTGGACCTGCCTCTTTGAGGTGAGTTAAGAGGAGATTCTTTTCCTATCATAAGTGGAATTATCACTTTAATTTAATTACAATTTGTCTGCAGTGAGCTCGATGTTGTTAAAGTGGTTTTGTCTGTCATTTCTTGTGAAAGTTTGGAATCAATTTGGTTATTCCTTTGAATATTAATGATTTCATTCTCAACTCTAATTGAGTTAAGGAAAATAGCCATTAAGAGCTCTGGAAATGTAATTGCTCCACCAACTGGTCAGCTATAATATTTTATTACAGTGATAAAAATGAAAACAACATTGTTTACCTAAAGAAAACTTTATTTAAATGTAAACATAAAAATGGAAGTAGGTTGTTAAAAAGGCAGTTTTGGAAACTCATTTTTCAACATCCATTTCTTTCTTGCCCAATGCTGATGGATAATATTGACAGTTATTTTTTTTCCAAATTGTATTCCAATTCTTATGTGTTTATTAAATTCATATTCTTATTCCTTCACAAACTAGTAACTGAGGTGGATTTAATGCAAGAACTTTCCAATACTTAATATTAAAAGAATTCAATATTGAACAGAGAATTCTTAATTAATTCCAAATCATACAAATTAAATTAATTTTAATTTAAAAAACACCACACAACTCCAGGTATGTGTAGTCCCCAAAGATATTATTCATGGCTAATGTCTTTGGCTCACAATTTAAAAGAAAGAATATTTCTAGAAATCATTATTATTGGTTTCCTTTTCCCCCAACCATTTGAGTTTATTAACTCCTCTTCTATGGAAAGAAAATTCTGTTATGTTTTTGCTTCTCTAAAATCTTCCCCAAACTGACTGCTCTCAAGAGTGTCTTCCCTGTAATTTGTGAACTGCTCAAAGATGAGTAGGCAGGAGGCAGGAACTTCAGTCTAGTTTCTCCTTCGCCACTGACCTCCTGTCTAGTTTTGAGAGCACATTTCTCACTTTTCTGATTCCAAGTTTCCTTATCCATAACTTGAAGTCTTATTCAAGATTGCCTTTCTTATAATATTAAATCCACTTAAATTGTTCATGAGTTGCAATTACACTTATAAGGAAACATGAATACTTTGAATCTAGTCTTGTTGTTAAAAGAGTTTACAGTTCAGTGGCATAAGCACCTGCCTGGTAAGCGTGAGGTCATGAGATTGATCCCTGGTACCAAAAATGAATAAATAAATAAATAAAAATTTACATCAAGTATCATAGTAATAGGAGAAAACAGTTGTGGGGAGTGAATGAGACATAGACATTCACCTTTACACACACCATCCTTCTCTCTTTAACTCCCATGACGCCAAATGGCACACTACAGTGTCACTCTTTTGGAAAGCCTCTCTTTTGTTTGTTTGTTTGTTTTTAATTTTCAGTGCTAGAAATTGAACTCCAGACCTTCCACTTGCTAGGCAGGCATGGTGCCACTGAGCTATATCCCCAGCTCAGAAGTTGTCTGACAGCATGTCTCTAAATGTTCAAGGTCTAGCAAATAAAGGGACTTTAGAAAGTTTTCTAACTCCAAGCTTCTAGAAAGTGTGGGGATTAAACCATCCTGAAAACATTTGGACCATCAAGTGATAATTTCATTTATTCATTCAGCACATATGTATTGAATACTTACTGTCGGTCTCTCCATGAGGAATAATATCTTCAAAGAAGAAGGAGAATGAATGAGAAAGAAGAGAACTCCCTAGAATAGGATGACAAAGATAGGGCAGGTTATTTTGATATTCATTTAGTAAAACTCTTCTAAGTATGGTAGTTTTAAGTGCTGATCCCTCAAATAAGAAAATATTGAAGCAAGGGAGGAGCAAAGATGTCAGATAGGTAACAGCAGGCTACAGAGGCTCCGTGAGAAAGTCAACTTAGAATTCAACATAATACAGCATGGGAAGCCCTGAACAGAGGGAGATGAATTCTTTTGTCCCAAGAAGAAACTAAGGTGAGAAGAACCAATCAAACTTACAAACCTGGTGCTACTATTGGAACAGCTAAAGGTTCAGTGTTCCTGCTGCAGCACCCAAACCTGAGCGGCAATGACTTACTGAGCCATCCGAAATCCTGCCACTTCTACTCACTGGAAACTCAGTCATACTGAGGTCGGGGGTCGGCAAGCCAAACAGAGAGCTGAGCTAGCGGGGAACCTGCATGGACCTGTGGTGAGTGATGTGAATAAAAACATTCCACAGAGAAGGGGGCTCCAACAGACAACATTCTGGGACTGGGCAGGACTGGCAGGAACAAGAGGCAACAGTGACTTCAGTCAGTTGTTCCCTTTCCAAACAGGATTTGTAGAGTAAGCTTGGCCTGGGTCACGCGACCTGGCTGAGACCCAATAGATTATCCGAACTCAATTCCCTATGGCGGCGGCGCACACTAATGCAGTGAAAGCCTCAACAGGTTGACTGACTGGGAGGGGAGGGGCCAGAATATACTGCCCCTGTTTGCAACTCACTAGCACACTGCAGTGGGAAAAGTCATCTAGCCAGTGTGCTTCAGAAGAACTGTAACCAACAAAGAAAGAAACTGAGGCCTCCTGGAAGAAACAAAAAAGATGGGAAAAGGAAGCAACAAGAAAAGGTCCCCAAAGCCCAACCCTGAGAACATTGACCCAGGACAGGTAAATACAAAGGAGAATGAAGACAGCAAACATGCAGTATCAGACACAGCACCAGTGGACATAAAGAGATATCTTCGGGATCTCATAGACAAGTTCAAAAGGGAAATATTTAGTTAAGTAAAGCAAGTTATAAGAAAATTAATAAAAGAGATGCAAAGCACCCCTCAAAAAGACACAGGTGGAAGAATGGAGGAACTCAAACAAAGGAGAGAACCATTTGATGAAGGATATAAAGAAAATATAGAATACATGAAGCAGATTCAAAGAGATTACAAAGAAATTAAAAATTCTATGAAAAGATGGCAAAACTGCTTGAAAGAAACTAAGGATAGATTATCCAAACTGGAGGACAGGTTTGCAATGTGGGATTATGAAAGGAAAAAAATTTAAAAATAACAAGGAAACAGGCAGTAACAATACAAAGGGTAGAAGAGGACAAGAGGATCTATAACTTGAGACTAAAGAATGTGAATGAAGAAGCAGGGGTACAAATAAAGGAAATGCAAAAGCTATTCACAGAAATAATTAAGGAAAACTTCCCAAACAAAGGAAAAGGAAATGATATTCTGATGTATGAGGCATACAGAACTCCAGCCACCTACAACCAAAACAGAGCCACACCCAAGCATATAATAATCAAGATCCCAGAAATTCAATATAAGGACAGAATATTAAAAGCTGTTAGAGACAAGAAACAGATAACCTATAAAGGAAGGCCCATCAGAATCATGGCAGACTTCTTGACACAAACCATCAAGTCAAGAAGAGCCTGGAATGAAATATTCCAAGCCTGAAAGATTGATATACCATGCAAAGCTGTCTCTAGAAATTAATGGAGAAACAAGATATTTCCAAGACAAAGAGGAACTGGGGAAATTTGCAACCACCAATTCAACTCTACAGAGAATACTGCAGGGCATTCTAGAAGGAGAGAAAAGTACTAGGATTCCAAGAACAGTGGCAGAGAGGCCTCAATGAATGGAGCAGAAAACAGAATTAAGAAGACAAGCAGACAACTGATGGCAAAAAAAAAAGAGCATAACAGAAATGAGACAGAGAAAGTTGGTTATAATCTCTAATACTGATACACTAAATCAAAAAAAAAAGAACCACAGGTAGAGTAGATTAGGAGGTAGGGTCCACTGAGATGCTATTTTTAGGAAATATAATTATGAAAAAGAGTACATGGACTGAAAATCAAATATGAGAAAACAATGCTCTATGTGACAGAGAACCAGAGAGTAATAGGGGCAACTAGACCAGTATTTGTGGATAGGTTGGAAAGACAGGCTTTAATAGGTAAAGGAATACACGAGATCACGTCTAGGAGAGAGAAGGTTTGGAACCACTTAGGTAAATAACAGGTTCCCCCCCCCCCATTTAAAACCAAGGACTTGGTGAGATCCAAAAATGCACCGTATACCCTGAGGAAGTGAAAGGGGAGGAAGAGTCTTAAAAAAGATGGCAGAAGATATTGTTAATAGTGTATCAGAATTTAAAACCCACATTACTCGCACCACTCTGCTTAGATAGATTTTATTATGTCCCAGTTTGTCTACTTGCATTAGATTTGAGGGCACAGACA